ATAAACCTGGTTAACAAAGCTTGTGCACAGATATTTCACTCTCAGGCAGTCCACACTTTTCCACTGATCTGTAGGTCCCTATCTTTATGAAACCAACTGTCATGCATGTTTTTACCTCTCCCTTTTACCTTTGTACCTTTTGTGGTTGTCGTACTTTTTCGGTGCAGGCTGAAAGGTACCAAACGCAGCAAAAACTGGCATCAAACATCTTTGACAGTATAGCAGTCTTATTCACATATTCTTTGATATGATCAAATTATTTTTATTTTTATAAAAAAAATTATTATTGTTTAGCTGCTTCTGTTGTTGGATTAAATATATATATTTCTAAATTTTTAAGCAAAAAAAGGTATAATTTTAATGTCAGTACCCAAACTCTGCTATCATATCTCTAATGTTGTAAAACTTCAGAATCAAATGTGTGCAACATTATGTCATTATGTGATTGGAGATGACATTTGTTGCAAAGACATGACCCCTTCTACTGGAAATTATTGATAGCACCACTGTGTTAACTGGATCCTTTGTAATTTAGATATACTGAATGACATTCCTCTCTTCCTTTGCACATTGCATCTGTTGGTTGTTTGGTTGACCTGGTCAGTGACCTGAGGGCTTTGACTGAATATAGGCTGTACAGGTGTGAACAGTACATCTCTGTCACTGACCCTGTGTGTCAGAGAAATTGCTTTCTGCTAATAATTAACCTCTGTAACAAGCCATACAGGTGAGATCAGCCATGTAATGAAGACTTTAAATATTGTGTGTTTGTGCCTCCACACGTGTCCCTTAATGATCCCTTTGCCCCCGGCCGTGGCCGTTTTCCCTTTGAGGAACTGTCCTGGCCTGTGTTTTAGTGCAGCTAATAGCCGTGCACTGGGGGACTTTGTCATTTCCTACAAGAGCACATTGCATGTCCTTTGATGGTGGGTGAAGATTAGGACTCGCCTTCGCTGCTTTGAAATACCACTCTCCTTTGAACCTCTCACCTAGCTTGGGTTTGACTGGATAATGTCATCCCACAGGCCAGAGTGTTCACTGAAAACAGTCTTATAATGTTGTGTGAAGAAATGTGTTGGATCAGCGCATGAAGGCTACCCTCACTGACAGTCAGTACAAGTCCAGTTAAAGACCGGTGCATTTTTTTCCGGCCATTGTGATAAACAAAATTTTTTAATTGAATAAAAAAAACACTAAAATGTCACAAGATGTTCAAATCAAAGTGTTTTAATCAACTCCTTGAGCAATATTTCCTCATTTTGACCTCAGCAGTGGCAATACACCTGCTTAGGGCTAAGGTCTTGATCATTTTAGACCATATATCCATACGTTACATAGTCATACATGTTGTTAAAAAATGTGTTCCTTTCATATCCTGTATCCCTGTGGATATCACTCACTCTCTAGGGCTTTAGCCCAAAATTGCCATTGACCCTGGCCCTATGGCAGCCCTCAGCCATTCATAATGGAACCCCAAAGTTTCTTATGAATGACATTCTTCTAGACTTTCCTGCTCTTTTCTCTACCTTCCACTGCACTGTTGAGAATAATACCCAAACATCCTTGATCTTTTCACACAAGGCGGCAGACGGGAGGATTTTCCCGCAGCAAGAATCATTTAAGTGATCCCTTTGCCAACGGTAGGGGTTTTGGGGTTGAAGATTGGATTGAAGATTGGAGGTGGGGGGTGTCACAGTCAGATAATGACATTCCTGAGACCCAGAGATGGACTCTAGAGCCCCATTTAAGCCGCTCAGGTTGAACTGGAAAGGTCTGTGTGTAGCCTGGCTGGTTTGGTAAACCTAGATAGCTTTGCGTGAGATCTTTCGAGAGGTATGCCGCTGACATTACTGAGGCCCCGGCGGTTCCCAAAACTTCCACAAGTAGTGCTTCAAACAGCAAACACAATTTTAGTCAGGAAGCCGTATTTAGGCTTGTATGCGCTCCAAAGTTTAATTAAAGGATGTGGAATCACAGAAAGCTTTAAAAAGGCACAGATCTTAATTATAGAATAGTATTTATATGTGCACTGTTGACAAATGGCATCTTATTTTTGCTCTGATGATACAGAGTTGTTTAACTGTTATAACCTGTTTGTTGCAGTGACTGAATATCAGACATTGCAACAATCTTTCACCTGAGAGGAAGTTAAGTAATTTTAACTTGTAGCCTACTAATTGCTCATTAAAATGTATGCTGAAACAGATTTGTTGTCTGCAGCAGTTAACTCTCACTCTTTCTCTCAGTTTCCTCTCTCCCTACCCATTGCTCTCTGTTCGATTCTCATAACCACAACAGTATAAGTCCCAAGCAATCTAAAACACAAAAAAAATATCCACAATGATCCGGAATCCCTATGAGATGGCCCCACTTGAAATTACAATGAGCGCCGAGGAAATTTACATCAAGTGTACAACCTGTCATGCAGATTTAACAGCAGTGATGATAACAGAGGATTAAGAGAATAACAGTTATTGGATTTAAACATCTCATGGCTGTGCAGTGTGATATGACGGAGTTAAACCGGTAATCACTGCTGATGCTCGATGGCTGGTATTGGCATACATTCAGCTGAGGTAATTCCTTGCTGAAAGTGACTGTCATCATTCTCTTACAACCGCCGCTGTTTACGCAAGGAACGCAAACACACTTTCTGGCTGACAGGGTGGCTTAAGCTCTTCTGAAAATAGATGATGAGTTAAGCCACAAAGGCTTAATACAATATAGCGGTGACTCTTATTAACAACCTTGGTGTTTAATAAGAGCAGAATATTATGTCATAGCCCTTCAAGTTGTTATATTATTAAGTTTATTGTTATTGATTATTAAGTTACGTAGGTTAAAAGGTGAAACCAAAACACAACAATAAATCCAAGAACAGATATTTTTTCATTTTTCAAACCACACAGAAAGCATGGCGTTGTCAGATAATTGGACAGAGACACTGCAGGACCTGTGGATTATGTGTGGTCACAACATAGCTTTAAGCTGTCATGAATTCTCTCAAACCTTGTTTTTGAATGTTTTGTACAAAACTAGTGTTTCCCAAACATTCTTGCATTTCAAGAAGGCAATTTACTGCTCTGTCTCGCCTTTCCAAACCCACCTCATTAGTTTGCTATGCCTTTTCTTTCTTCTACACCTCATCTTCATCCATGCATATGTGCATATCACCGGAGTTATTTATGCTCTGTTTTGTTTTCAACACCTCGTCTTGTAAAAGCAAGGCTGCCAGGCATAAAGCAGTCAAAACTCCTCTTCCCTGCAACCCGTCCCACCTTGGCTGGAGAATTTATGGCCAAGTCATCGCCCCTGAGACAGAAGCTGAGAGGAGCCTGACTGGGCCCTTGCTGAAACTCGGCACCCTCTTGTTTGACGCACCACCTCATTTTGTCTCCTTTTGGACATGTTCGACACCGCGGGGTGATGCCACTGACAGCGCTGTTTGACACCCATTCCTCAGCACCTGCCCAGTCACCTGGAGCTACGGCTCGGCTTTTCATCTTTCCACCTTCCCAGTAACCCCTCACCCAGCCTACACTTCAAAATTTGTTACCCAAATCAAAGGTGGTGCGCATTGTTAAGGTTCGAACATTATACCAGTGTCATGTAAGCTCCTTGAACAGAACAGCTGCAGGTAATTCACAGAGAGAGAAAGCCAGGCTCTTTGTCACTGTTGTCTGATGATTCTTGCTGAAGCCAGGAGTGGGTGTAAAGTCCTCTTTGCCATTAACACTTCAGCCCTGTGGCCTGTGTGCTTGGCAGCTGCCTGCTCTGTAAATGAAACCAGAAGATGCTTGCGGTTTGGACAGCACTATGGTGGGACCACATGCTAGTTGGGCTACTAAAAGTGCAGTAGCTCTGACAAGTATTGTGTTGTGAGCCAAAAGAGCTTTGTCATACGCCTACGCAAATATCTCCAAAATAGAAGCTTTATGTTACAAAAGAAGACCAGGAGCCATGAGGTCAGCTGCATGTAGCTGAATTTGTAATGAGATAAACCTCTAAATTTCAGTTGCTGGTGCCAAAAGCGATCTGGGATAATTTAACAAAGAATAAAACCCTGCGGCACCTAAACACATTGTCTCCTGACAAATCCGTAGTGGAGGGGGTGAATTGTGGTACAATTGAAAAGCAAAATGATATGCTTAACTGTTTTACCAAAAAAAAAAAAAAATAAAGATTCATTTAATTACAGCTGATGGCCTACTGCAGACCACAAATTTGTAATATTTTTAAAAATTATGTACAACTTTGTCAGTGGCTGAGATTTTATGTTCTGTGCATGTCATACATCTACCAAAAAAAAAGCCCAAAACAATTCAGATTCAATTCACGGCATGTTTAGGGGGCCGGCGGCCTGAATGTAGAACAGTGACACACAATAGGAAACAAAACAAAATGACGCTGATCTTGTAAGTCATGATTGTTGTACTTCCTAGGGCACTCCTAAAATTATATGGTTGTATTTCAAGCAAAGAAACTGATCATGGTTTAGAAACAGGAGCCTCTTCTGAGGCTTTGTTGAGTTTTCATGAGCAACATCAGTGTTGTCATTGTCCTTGAGCGGTATCTTCAATTTATGTAATAATGAATGATCTTACTGACTTACACTGTTGTGTGGAAAAGTCCTTAGAGAGCTGTTGACAATTCATATCAACATGGCAACCACTCGCTATGTATTTTTTTCTTAAATAAAAAAAAAGAACCCTTTTAATCATTTAATGGTTCCCAAACTAAAAAAATCATCCTCTTAGCATCACAACATACTCCAATATGATAAATGGACCTGAGTGTAGAAGGGAAAAGAACGGCGAGCCTTTTCCGTTACACTAGTATTTGAGGTTAAGATTCTTTGGACTGGGCCGGAGAACATTTTTCCACGCAGTCAACTGAAAGTGCACATTCTGCCCTCTCAGAAAATTATCATTTGACCAAAAAGACTCTCTCTCTTTATGCGGCTATAGGGTCTGATGCTGAAACTGTGGATTTGTACTCACCACCAGATGGGATAGCCTCCAAGCACCCGTGAGCTGGACAACCACACACACATCAAATATCCAATCAGATACAAATCCATGAGGTAAGCCTTGTAGTGTGTGAGAGGGTAAATGGATCAATACATAGAACTTCCAGCAGGCAATGAAGAAGAGTTTCCAGGAAGAGAAGCTTTAGGGCAGCTTGATTGTTGAATGAGGGGAAGATTAAAATGATATTGAAAAAAAAAATCTTCCTCCTGTTTTCCCCCCTTCTTTGAGTCGGGCCAGGAAAGTGTGTCTGTCTCCTAGTAGTTAAGAGAATAAGTGTCTCTTACACACATGCACACACGCTCCTACCCGTCCTCTCCTTCCCTCCCTCTCTCTGAGGTTCTTCCCTAAGGTAGATATCTTTTTCTCTCTCTCTCTACTTTTTTCTCCCTCAGGATGCCTCATCCACAGGCCCAATATTAAAGGGGGGGTAGAGGCGGGGGGAATGAGGTTTGGAGATGTCAGCTGGCAAGCCAATCACAGAAGATGGCCTTAGGTTACGAAAAAAAAATTATTATTCGTTCCCATCTGTCAATCACACGCCACCCCCTGGTAATGTGGAAAAGAAAGGAAAGAGTGAAAAGAGGGAGGGAGGGAAATGAGAGAGGGAGGTATAGGGAGGGACACATGAAAAAGGTAGAGTAGAGTTGTTACTCAACTTGTTTCATCTGTGATCATTGAGAAAAAAATGATTCCCCAAAGTGTCTAGAGGTAGGTGAAGGGATGTAGGCCAGCTCCTGCGCAGAAGTCTCAGGGTTCACAGACGCTGACGTACATGTTGACACATTGATTTTTAGGGGTTGTGCCCTGACTAATTGATCCGGATATATGTGCATACAGTGCACACACACACACACACACACACACACACACAAACACGCACGTCAACACACGCATAATCTCTGTCCCACTCACGGAGACATTTACAGTGAATTTTCTAAATTGTTGTCCGCCCACCCCAACAGGGGAGGACATAAAAGGGGACACAATAAAGCCATAAACTGTGGTGGTGGCTGGGCCAGGCATGCAGGGGTTATATGCTTCAGCGGCCCAAAGGCGACACATTTTACATCAATACTATTGTCATTCTGATGGGCTGTGGGGCGAGCAGCCGTGGGACAGGGGGAGGAGGGAGAGAGAGAGAGAGAGAGAGAGAGAGAGAGAGAGAGAGAGAGAGAGAGATAGATAGAGAGTGAAGGAGGAGGGTGGGACACTTGTGATGGACTTAGCCTGAAGTAAGCACGCATTTGATTCACACACAAGGAAACTGATCGGGACAAATGCAAACAAGATACCCGGCAGAGATCAAACAAACCGAGTTGTAGTGATGACAATCTGGTTGAGGGTTTTGTCTCAACGGATTATCAGTCGGTCATCGTGGAAAGAATGACCACCAAAGACGTGACCACTGCAGAAAGCACTAATGAAAGGGTTCATCAGTATAAATTTCATCCTTGACTTTACGGAACATAACTTTGAGTAGAAGTGAGGCTTTCTACTGACCAGTTTTCTGCTAAATTTGTGCCCCATTGCCCTTTAAAGACTAATGCTGTCAGTGCTAACATGTTATCAAAGAAGTCTGTGTTTAAAATTGTAGTTTCTTTGTAGTTGAATTTCACTCTTTTCTGACCCGTTTAATAGTCAAAATACTCAAAATTAAGTTAACTAAATAAGCACAAAAAGGATCCTTCCTAGCTGAACTAGTGAACTAGATTTGAAGGCTTTTTCTGAACATATAATTTAGCACTCCACAATGAATCGAGTGCGATATCCAAATGCTGCAGAAGCTGCAATGTTTTTGATAAAGAATTTGTGACAAAACAGTATTATAAATTAAACATTTTAACACTTATTAAAAATATATTCATTAGACCAGATGGATTACATGATAGATTTCACAACAGATTGAGTGTGTGGAGCCATATGGAAACCAGCCTTTGGGAGATCTGTTTCCAAGTAAGAAAGGTCATAATAGGTTCAATGACACCGTAAGAGATGTTTTATTGATTTCAACCTGATTTAATATTGCAGCAACAAATAAAAATGAATGAAAATAAGTTTAGTGGACATTGAAGATGAAATGTCACCCATGAACAATTACAGAAATATACATTTGACACGTGTGCCATTTTATAGATTAGACCTGCTAATATGGCAGGTGACTCAAATGTCACACTTTGACTTTAAATACAAAGTTTGTCATAGACATGTGGCTCTATGGGGAATCATTTTAACACAAATATTGTTATTCTTAAGTGATTTTAAATGTGCTAGCAGGATTTATATTTGAGCAACATATCTCAGTTGTCTCTCCCTCTGATGTGTGTTGCCTGGGGGGGCCGTGGTCTTTCTGCTGAGGACCTCCAGGGCATGAGTGAGCTCGGTGGACTTAGGGGGCTGGAAGGTCGCTCAGCAGGGGCTGGGAGCGTGCACTCTGCAGAGAGGAGGCTGAGTGCCCACCGCAGAGAGAGAGCGCAGTGACCACAGTCTGGAGGTCAGCAGTGGAGTGCCCCCCTTCAACCGCCCCTTCTGTTTTATTCCTCTATAACAAAGAAGATTGGGAAACAGGCAGTGACTGAGCAGCACTCGACCTACCGCCCTGCTTGAGAGGGGGGGGGGTCCCTCCGAGTCTCTAAATGTGACAATAATTGATAGATATCTTTGTGAAACTTGTATGAGGCCTGCTCTCCAGCCAGTCGTGGTGGGGAGTCTACTATATTCTACCAATAAAGATGACTTTTCAATGCCTCAAGTCAAGATGCGGTATGTCATAGCGGTGCTGACAATGAGGCAGGTCTGTTTTCGATCACGAACATTGTTGTGTGTTACGGCATCGCCAGAAATGTGCCTAGCTCAGCTCTGGGATTTGGATGACAGTTGCTCTCTAGGAGCTATAGACGGTGTGTAGGGCCAGGGATGGATGGGGGGAATGTGACAGTGGTCTAATTTATGAGTGCAGGCAAAGGAATCAGTCTGCGGTCTGCATCTGAACAACATTGAAACCACGTTTCCCAGGTTGAGGCCACAAGTGCAACGCAAACTGTCTGAAAAGGCAGCAGTGATTAAGGTCAAGAACATTGGAGCCTGATCTTGAAATGAACTGTGACTCAACAACACTTTTGAGCCGTGGTGTTTTGTAGAAAACCTCTGCAAAGGAAGGCCTTGGTTTGCGTGTCTGCATCAGTAGGTGCACAGGAGGGGGAGGCACACACAGAGGTCCCCTACCGGGCTGGTTTCTACGGTGACCTGAGAAAGGCCGTAACCAGGTCCGGCTCTTTCTCAGGCCTAATCAGCGTATTACCACAAAGAAGGACATGTGTTCGGCCCCCCCACCTCTCTACCCTCCCTACTCAATCCGACCAGCATGGCTGGACACAGGCAGCCAATAAAACCAGGATTAGGAGGGTATCTACACACACTGGGCTGTAGCGAAAAAGTTTCTGAACACGCCCAATCCCGCCCTGCTCCCTTCACAAACCTCTTTTCATCATTCTTCTCTGTCTCTCATTCCTTCCATCTTTCACTTTATTTCGCTTGCTCCCATGTTTATATCCTTCTTTTGCCTCTTCCTTTCAGAGCCCTCACCCTGTAAGCTCTTCACACAATGGGGCATCCAGAAATTACTCATTTTGCCAGAGCAGTTCAGCAAATTCCCAATGCCTCTTGCCCACCTCCCCCTTTATACTCCGGATCCTGTGCTGTTTGCTGTTATGATAATGAAATGTGCTCCATCACAATGACAAAGCTGTGCATGTGTTTGGCTGTGTATGTGAATGATGGATGGATTTATGTGAATTCACGCTCCTTTACATATTTTTGCATGAATTCACGCTACTCTACATGACGTGCAAAAAGGAAATCTCCCATTCAGATTTCAAGAGCACGAACCAGATTCTCTTTTGCCTCCATGTGAAGCAATTGCGTGATTAATTAATACCACATAGTAATAATAAAGTGTCCCAGTGTGCAGTAAGTTCTGTCTGTACAGGAAGTACATCATGTTTACTGTCATGATTTGTCTGGAGAAATTTGGAAGTCGTGTGCCTCTTGGTTCTTGGAGGCCGCTGCCTCACCTCAGAGTCCTCGCTAATGTGTCCTGGAAATGGGAGAGTGTTAAAGATAATATCAGCGCCTTTGTCAGGACTTTTTAAGACAGGGGACAAAGACCGCAAGAACTCTTCCCCCAAATAAACCTTTTTCATTAGAGCAGCAAACACTTCATCCATCGGCTGTGTGAGCGAAGCTCTATTGGTGTGTGCGAGCTGCTCAGTAAGGTCCCACAGGGAAGAGCCTAAACCCTCAGCGGTCTTCAGCCGGACACTGAGGCGGCCTAATTAAAGGGCACTTAAGCCCCACAATGTGCGGCGGTGCAGGTTGGAGTTGGTGGGGGTCCCCGCCGAGAGGAACAGAATTCATGGCACTCGTAAACAAGGGAGTCCAGGACAGAGGGACAGAAGAGGGCTATGTGCCAGAGACTTTGTTCACACAAGATGAAGAGTCAACAGCCTCCCCATCCCTCACCCCTCCTTAGCCATCCCCCCTAATAACCACCTTCTTCAGAGGAGCTGCAAACACAATGCCGTCCCACTCCCCTCCTCTTGCTCTCAATCACTGTTGGGACAATGAGGGGAACCCCCCCCCACCCCCCCCACCCCACCTCCACCACCATCCTTCTGCCCCTCCCCGACCCCCAAACAGACACTTCTTTTATTGAAATTCTTTGGTGTTCTAATCCTCAGCTTCCTCCAGGGGCAATAATGGACTCCCTGCGTCAGCCTTTTCCAGCGAGGCTATCATCCAAGCCTGCCTGGGTCACAAGTCCACCTCTCCTATTGGAGAAAACTGCCCCAGCAGTGTCATTCCTGTCACATCCAGCCCATCTACAGGCCATACAAGCCCCGATGCTATTGACCTGAAGAGCACATTTGTATTAATATTTTCAGAACGTTTTCTAAACAAATGGGAGGTAATGGGAACCATTACACATCCATTCAAAAATAATCTGATGCCTTACTCTTAAGATTTACAGAACGACTTGGGAATCTTTTTTATTTTCCTTTTTTAATGGTATTTATCAGCTCTGATGAATTTGAACAAATCCTCATTTTGGCTTCACTTTTGAATTCACTCAGCAAATTTGCCGGGAAGGGAAGTGTGTAAAGTGCTGGAAATACAAGATACTGGTTACAATTAGATGTCAGCAAATTTCACAAATAGAATGACAAGAAGCACAATGATTGCTGAGTACAGATTATACTGTATATTTTAAATATGTAGTGAGATTGTCTAAGCCTTTTTTAATAGAGGATCCTCGTTGACATGGATGGGGTTGAAGACAGACCTCTCAGTATAAAGCAACACAGCTACAAACTACAGACTACAA